CAAAGACTTTGCGAATTATTGCGCAACTCTGATTTACAGTAAAGAGGGGTGTTACATCAGGTTCAGTTCAGACGTGACTTATGTCACGAGATCAGTATCAGATTATTCAGACCGGTATCAGATATCAGTTTCAGTTCAGTTATATATGCCAGGATCATGATATTATTATTATTTTAAATGTTTTACATTAGTATGAGTTTCCACGGAGCAAAGTGCCATAGTGCTCTATCCCCAGTTTTATTATGTTTTTCAGGTCAGGACGTCGGGACGGGAGCATGAGCGTGACGTGACGGGGACCTCAGGATATTCATATTTTGGACTGTATAAATATGATGATTTACGCTTCCGCTTATGATACTTTGATGTCTTGTGATGATGTTTTTGATGACTTTTGACGTAACTGTTTTGACGAACTTATCTTTTGATTAACTTTTGAGAAACTTATGATTTCAGTAAACCGGACGATCTCATTAAAACTAAAATAACGGTTTTCTAAGTTAAGTCACGATTTTTAAAGGTAGCACCCCGAATCAGTTTTCGCAAAGTAAAAAGGTTTTATTTTAAAAGACTTTGCGAATTATTGCGCACTCTGATTTGACAGTAAGGAGGGGTGTTACAATTGGTATCAGAGCACGTTTCTGCGTCTCTGAAAAAGTTTTCAGACAGTAATTTTTCAGAAAAACCTGAACCGTCATGCTCACGCCCCGCCGACGACAGGTAAGTGCTGATTCAGTTTTTCAGTTATAAACATATTACTTTGTCTATGCTCAGAATTGAGGATCAGGACTTTAGTTAAGATGCTCAATTAAGGTTCAGACTTTAGAGTTCGGACATGACTCTAGAATTCAGGCATTCAGATATGACTCTAGACGTTAGGATCTTCCTGTATGACTCTAGAGTTCTTCAGGATTCACGTCAGTAGTTATCGGCCACTTTTAGCTACTCGTCAAGAGATTTGTGCGCCTTAGTAATCAGTCAGAATGTTATCATGTATTCAGTAATGTTAAACTTTCTCAATGTTCAGATGCCGCCCCGAAGGGAATCCGATCACCCAGTTTTTATTCAGGCCATAGTAGTCGCACAGTTCCGCGACTATCAT